TAAGAAATCTTCTTGTGAGTTGAATAAAACTTGTTAATGTTTTACATTGTGTTTTTTCCTGGATACAACAGTAAGCTTGATAGTAGGATCACATTAGGGCAGTGAAGTTGGAAGTTAAATTGAAGGCCTGACATTAAGGTATAGGACGTTTCAGTATTGTATCTCACAAACTTTTAAGCAAATACTTAATAATTTTACTTTATAATTAACTAATTTTATAATTAAGAAAAACTATTAGGCAAATACTTAATAGTTTTACTTAATAATTTTATCGGGCATGCGACCTATGGCTTTTGTTCGTGCGTCACTGGTTATGGTGTTCAGGTTGACTAGACTACTATAGTTGTAGTTGTTCGTGTCTATAAAATTAGACAATTTGTCAAGCCATTCATCAGTTGATAGTGAGTGTTCGATTCAGATACCTCGTTATTGTTAACTCAATTGTGAGGTTTGGAAGAATCTATGGTTGAACTGAAGATCTATGTTTTTCTGTGTGGTTGAATTGGAAATTGAATTATCTAAGTAAATTTTTTACTCTTCTGTAGAATGGCTTGTGGGTAACAAGACCTTTCCATAAAAATACAATTGGGGGAAATACATCGTTAAAAATAATTGGGTTTGTTCATGAAGCCGCTTTGACTTCATACCTCGGCAGCAAATTTTAGATGTGGTTCGTGAACCTCTCTTAGCATGCTTCCAATAAGACTGGTATGTTCCGTGCCCTTGATTGTGAATAGTTTTCAGTTTCTTCAGGAGATTAGTTTTTGCAGAATTGTAAATTACTGACGGGTAGTCAATTTTGCTTCTAACTATCGCCTTGTATGTAAGTATTATGGCGTATGTAAGCATTATGGAACCATCCAATTGTTGTACGATATACATTTGAGGATATTTAATCTGTTCATGCAATCTATAAGTCTTTGGATATGATTCTTCCATGTCATTTTGTTTTCGAAGATTAAGCTCAGTATCTTGGCACTTTGAGCAAGCCGTAATGATTGTTGTCTCCAGTGAAGATGAGGAATTGCAGTATGATTATGCTTGGAGAATAAAGTGTATTCAGAATTTTGGTAGAGAACTTGAAACCGGGTTTTAACGACCATACGTATAAATTGTTTAATGCTTCTTGAACCATTTCTACAGTGGCATTTCTACTTCCTTTACCGAGAACAATAATGTCATCCGTATATTTCGTAACTATTGTTGGTGCTATGATCTCATAGTCTGCATCATTAATAGGCAGAAGGAATAAAGTTACACTCAAAACGGATCCTTAAATTAAATTTTCAATATTTCTCATCCTAGATAGGTTTTTGCTCTCACTTGAATTCTGCGATCCAGAAGTTTTTTTTAGAAATTTAATCATACTTCCTGTAATTCCTATTTCATGTGATTAGGCCAAAATGCGATGAGTCCACACGATATCATAAGCCTTTTCAATATCAAGATTAAATGCGATCACATGTTACTTGTTTACGAGTGGTTCTTGAATATATTTTTCTGTGCTGATAAGATGGGAGATTGTGGAATGGCTAGGACGAAATCCACATTGATTATTTTTAATAATTTTGTCGTAATCTAAGAACCATCTAATTGTTAACAGTCTTTTCTAAAATTGTTTACATTTAACACGTTAGTGATATTATTCTGTAACTGCCACTATTTGATGGATCTTTTTCAGGTTTTGGTACTGAAACAACAATAGCCTTTTCCATATTTATGGGAGGGTGTTATTTTCCAATATTAGATTGAATATTTAAAGTAGAATTTCAGTGCCTTTAGGTACTTGTACAGTATTGGTTGTACTTGTACAGCCATTTGTTCCATTGTTCGCAGATTTCAAGCAAATAGAGTATGTCGGTTTGTAATGTTGACTAATTATTTATTGCGTATTATCGGTGATGTTCCATATTCGCACCTCAGTTTCTGAACAAGAAAGAACGCACTTTGTTCAAAAATAACGTTTTTAACCACTTCGAGTTGTATTATGACTGTCTTCAACGGCATCATTCCATCACAGGTCGCGTTCGGCGTCTGAAGTCAAAACCTGGTCCTGAACCCCTTGAAGGTGTTCGCCTAACGTCCTAGGAAGACATTTCCATACATAGTATTTTTGGTAATGAAAAGTACTTCAAAATTTGAATCTTTACGTTTTCGATTATACACTATCTGCTGATGAAGTTTCATAAAAATCAGTGTCTGACATGAGTGTTGGGGGTAAGATCTTGACTGGTCTCCCAATATGTGTGGTAGTGTAGCACATGTGTGTGTTGAATGTGTGTGTGAAGGAAGACGCGGAAGCAAGTGTGAGGAAGGAAAGATCGCGCGCAGTCCGTGCCTCGTTTTGAAGGGGTATTGTTCTGGCATTTACGTTTCTGTTTTAAGAAAACACTGTAAATTACTGACAAGAATAGCCGGCCCGTAGAATTATCCGCCAGGCAGAAGCTGAATTCGATCTTTCTGTGTTGCGACCTTACTGTGTAACTGTAACAAGTATGTGTAACAGTGCAACTCTCACGTGTTCTTAGCTTTAATGCCTCTGTCTAAGCACAAAATAATTGTGTTGTCTTTTCCGTTACCATTTGGTATTTTATTTCATGTATATTAATTTTTTACATTATTAGTTTTTAGTTTAGCAAATTTAATCATTTCTTATGGATACACTGTTCTACATATCCACCGATTTTGAAATGATTCCGATCATTTCTTCTGAGTGTTGCATTTTTTACAAACACCAGTGTATTTTGTAACCTCTTTTAAAGATCTCACTTTTTAGGAAAGATTTCATTTAAAACAAAAACTTTATAATGAATATAGTACTTTTGCTATGTTAAATTTTTGCAACGTTTTCGATTATTCGTAGATTTCAACAAATACGAGACCTGCACCAATCAAGAATCGCTTGTTCTATCCGTGAAAATTAAAGTATAAATATGGAGCAGTTTTTGAAAAAATGTTTTTTTTAAATTGCATTAACTCTATAAATGTCTCAAAAACTACTGTTTTTTTTAAAATGTACATGACCTTTGCCAAAGATTTACTTTTTAAAACATAACATTTTTTGTAATTCTGCGTCTTTAATTTTCATCACCGTTGTTTGTTACAAATAGTGTTAAATAACTAGGGGGACCCATTTGTATTCGTAATTTTTTGTATTTTTTGTCGATTTCGACTAATAAGCCATTTTACCTTCATACGTCAGTTTTAATTCATTATTTGCTGATTTAATCGATTTTAAAATCATTTTAATAGCTCTTGCTTCAAACAATATTTACGAGATGCAGCAAATGTTCACCACAGAATTCCTGAGTAGCCTATTCGATCCCTTCGCTTATAT